CTTGAGAGTGTTACCTCCAGAGGAGTGGCTAATGGGTGTCAGGGAGTGTGGCTAATGGAGGTCAGGGGTGTGATCAACGGGGGCCAGAGGTGTGGCTAATGGGGGTCAAAGAGTACATTTTAAAAAATTCTTTGGGTGCACACCCTAATGAAATGTGCTGCGCATGCCTATGATAGGAAGCAGTAGAGCATGTAACAGCAGGGCTGGGTCCTAGAGAGCTGAATGCACTGCCTGCAGCATAGTCTCAGGGAAGGGATTGGCTGCTGGGGTTTCTGGGAAGGGGAGGGAGTAGGGGTGGAAGCGCAAGTCAGTTATAGGGGCACCAGTTTAATAATCTCGCGTAGGGCACCATAAATCCTAAGGACGGCCCTGCCCACACTCACAGATAACTAACACCTGCACAGCTGCAGAAGTGATTTAAAGGAAGAGAAATTGATTTCAGAGCCCAGTTCAGGTGAATTAACAACTTGCAATTCTGTCTGACTGCTCTGAAGTCAATTCATTCTTTCGCTAGTAAAGGTGTTTCCTTTAAGAGCAAACAGTCCAAAGCGTGTTCCACAATAATACTTAAATGAAGTGGGTTTTCAGAATGGCTTCACAAATGGGAGAAGGAAATTGTCTTTAAAATTGTTTATTCTAGTAAGCTGATCTCTTTGCAACCGTGCATTAAAATGCATTGGATATTACAACTCTTCTGTTAGAGGTGGTTCTGTACTTCTCTCTTTGCATACTTTATAGTCAGAATGATTTGGACTGAGTTTAGAAGGCAATACTACTTAAGCAAACCGTAACCAGTGACCTCAGTATATACCTCATATTTTGACAATATTCATATTTTGTTTGGGAAGATTTTGATGGATTTTGAAGAGAGGGTCAAAAAATGTGTATTTCTGATATTAGGAGCATTGGCTAAAGAGCCCATTATTAATTCTGCAAGAGGAATACATCATCTGGAGGAACAAACTCTCTGTCATAGAATCATAGAGCTGGAAGAGACCTCAGAAGGAAGAGACCTGTCACATCCCTTTCACTTAGAATTATTCCAAATGAGCCACAAAGGACAGAAGAGACAAGTGTACATGAATCTGCTTCTGTGACTATTCATGTGTGTGTGTGTCTCTCTCTCTCTCTTTTCAAGCCTACCACAATACCACCAAGTGTCAGAACAGTATTTTCATGTTCTTTCAGGGCCCAAATTATCTTAGCTGCTTTCCCCCAAAAAATCAACTCTAACCATTTTACATGAAGGCCCCATTTAGACAGGGCCAAATGGGGAAAAAGTCTCTTCTTTCAGCCAAGCCTTATTCCTCGTAGAACGAGGTACACAGGGCTTCCTGAAAGAGCCCATTTGCTCTTTCACTAAAAAAAGCAGATGAGCAAACGCATTCCCTGGACGCGGCAGAGTTTTTCCGGGATACCTCCGGTGTCCTGGAAAAACCCACCAGTCTAGACGTACCTGAAGGTGGATATACAGGTTGCACCTTTACAATCTGGGTGGGATTCTCTGGTCCGGCAACATCTGTGGTCCAGCATGATCACGGATGTTCCAGGATCAGAGAGTCCTGGTGCACTGATTTAATCTTACATTTCTTCATGTGCTTATTCATTAACCTTTTGCAATTCCCTCTGCTTATACAGTATCATTAGATCTGCCAACTTAGCCAGTTTCACTTTCTGCTTATAGTTTTTTCAGCGCCACCTTCTCAGCACAAGCACAATGGTGCATGGTGTGAAGTATTCACACATAGTAAAGAGAATTTAAACAACCACCCTCTGCACATTCTGTAATATCATCACCAGTGCGCTTTTTAAGGCTCTTTCAAGAGAACACTCAAAATGTGTAGGTCTAAACTTGTCTCATCCCATCCTTTTCATTTCTCTAGAAGTCTGCATCATCTTACCATGTCTTTAAAGCCTCCAAGGATGGCAGCTGTGATAATCCCTAGAAACAATCCAACTATGTTCAAAATTGTCGCTGACCAGAGCAAGTGGTAAAGGTGAATAATATCCTGGCAGCTGCTGACATCAATATATTCATAGTAGCCACCGGAAATTTCCACTCTGCTGATTAGAAAAGAAACCACAGTATAAAAATCCAAAAAAGCCCACGTCAATAAAAGAATGTATTCCTTTAATGAACCAGGGGTCCTAATGTAAGTGCATGTTTCTACAGGTGAGGACCCTGGAGTAGGCCCATCACGTTGGGACCTAAATTTTGACATCTCCCCACATGATCACAGCAGGGGAGGATACTCCTCTTGAATACATGTCTTGACCCCCTGGGAGCTTCCTCTAACATTCCTACCTCATGTCCTCCCAGTTAGCCCAGGGCTGCTTAATGCCAGAATAATAGATAATTAAGTAATGCTCTGTTCTTGTACAGCACCATTAACCAGATGATCTCAAAACACTTCCTATACTTTACAGTTTCTCACCCCTCCCTGAGAGGTTAGTATGCATAACCATAGCCATTTGATAGGTGGATCATTTATAGACACAGAGGACACATAGCTTAACCAAGTCTACACTGCCTCAGAGCTGGGAACTGAACTGTGGAGTCACTTAAATGAAATTTGGTAAAAGGCTGATATTCAATATCTATTTCATCTGGCATTTACATAGAGCCTTTCATTCCAAATGTTCTCCAGTACAGTACAGACTGATAACCACTACGTACACACCACCCCATTCCCCTACTGAAATGTAGCACAGCAGCTGTTCCTACCACCTCTGGCTCAAGTCCTGACAGTTCTCTGATAGCACCCACCAATGTTACACAACAGTTACATCAAGAAATAAAGAATATTTATTGTGACCCTAAGCACTCGGGACCTTGGGTTTAGATTTCATCGGTCACATCCCATCTTGTGCATTTACGCACCCGCTTCCCCTGTAAAATATCAAATAAAAATTTTCATTATTTGGATATGGCAGGAGGAGTGCCACTGCAAACCCAGCAACCTTGAGTCTTAAACGTAAGGTTCTCCCATAATCACTTCTTTCTGAATGCCACTCCAGGAAGTAAATCAGATGGATCTCCAGTGGATCCTAAAGAATACTGTTTCAGACACTGTAAGCATCTAGAATATGCATGTCTCAGTACTTGGAAACTACATTCAGGGTTCTTATGGTCACACACAAATTCAAATTATATGGGAAAGTCCAATCCCTGCAGAGCTTTGGAAAATTGATACTTTTTTCCAAATCAATTTTTCATTAAAAATGTTTTGGTTCTCTGAAACTATTCATGAATTCAGGTCAAACCTGGCCAATATTTTTTTTAAATCAACATGTTTAGTTTCGGAGATTTCAAAACATTCATTTCTAAATTAACAATTGGACGATGTAAAAAAAACTAAACCAATAGTATTCAATTAACCAAAACAATCTGATTGATTTGAAACCAAATATTTTTGAGTTGATTTGATGACAAAAAAATATTTTGTTTTGGGTTTTAATAGAAATGTATTTTCAGTTCCATCCTGAACCCCAAAATCTATTATTCACTCGTCTCAGATATTGGTGAAAACAATCTGGTAATAAAATCTTAGGATTTGGAGACTGAAGATCTGAGTTTTATGCTAAGATCCGCTGCAAATTCCTTTACCATCTGAGGTAACTCAGTGTGAGCAATGTTTGCAAACTGCCCTCTAATTTTAGGGGTTCAATTTGAGACCCCTCCGGAGACCGATTTTTAGAGGCCCTGAGCACTCAAAACTCCATCTTACATTAATGGGGCCTGCAGCAGCTCAGCCCTGCTGAAAATCAGCCCCCCAAGGCTATCTCAAGCTGGGGGACCAAAAGCTAGCAGCACCCAAACCAGAGACCACTACTGAAAATTTTCACATGGTCAACTTACACATAATTCTGTCTGAAAAATATTCCACTATTGTTTTTATGCATGCCTAAGACTGCAGTAGCAGTAGCTGGAAGAGAACAGAAACAACTCTCTTCTCTCTTTTTATTGTTGACTTTGTGCATTTGACAGAACTTGGACTATACTCAGTTTCACCATTTCCTGCATCTCTCCCCCCTCCCCGCCTCCGCCCCGCCCCTGTATAATCAGTTTGTTGGTTTTTGTGTTTTCTATTGCTTCATACAGCACTGTGGAGAAAACAAGCACATTTTTAAAAACCAGTGAAGTCACAACATTTGGCAAAGAAAATGGGGGTTAGGTGTAGTGCCTGAAATGAGTTTTAAATTTAAAAAACCCAACTGAATAGTTTACAAGTTGACTGTGGTCCCTTAAATCTTTGGCTGCGTCTAGACTACATCCCTTTTCCGTAAAAGGGATGCAAATTAGACAGATCGCAATTGCAAATGAAGCGGGGATTTAAATCCCCCATGCTTCATTTGCATAAACATGGCTGCCGCTTTTTTCCGGCTCGGAGCTCTGCCGGAAAAAAGCACCAGTCTAAACGCAGATCTTTTGGAAAATAAAGCCTTTTCCAAAAGATCCTTTATTCCTTATTTTAAGAGGAATAAGGGAAATAAGGGATCTTTCGGAAAAGGCTTTATTTTCCGAAAGATCCCCATCTAGACTGGCGCTTTTTTCTGGCAAAGCTCCGAGCCGGAAAAAAGCGGCAGCCATGTTTATGCAAATGAAGCATGGGGGATTTAAATCCCCGCTTCAATTGCAATTGCAATCTGTCTAATTTGCATCCCTTTTACAGAAAAGGGATGCAGTCTAGACACAGCCTTCATGTTTCAATTTCCTCATTTTGTAAAGTGGGGGTAATACTTGCCATCCTCATAGGGGAGGCACCAGGCTCAACCCATTCACATTTATGTAGCATGTTGAGATCACCGGAGAAGATACTGCAGGGGAGCAGATGAGTAGTTAAGCTTGCTTGAACATACTGAACGACTAGATTGACATTTTGCAGCATTACTTGAGCTAACTTTAATTTAGATGGTAGGATCACTACTTGAAGTAATAATGCAAGATTGATCTCTATAGTAGCTATAATTACCAAATACTATACATACTCCCTACCATATCCTGTAGGATTCCCTAACCTCTTTAAGCATGAGCAAACCAAGGCATCCCATACTTGCTCTTAACATGGATGCTGAATGCTATTTGTTATATACTCACTTTCCACAGTTGTATAGGTCACAGCAGAAGCAGGTGTTGGTTTTTATTTTAGGTGTGCAGGGTCCCCGGCGCTGAGGATTACAGATCCCCTGTGTGAACACAAAGGGAAGGGGATACAAGGAACCCAGGAAGAGATGAGCAATGGCCTTTTGCTGTTTTCTCTCAGGCCTGTATGCAGATTCTGTACCAGTATAGCGGACGGGGTGGCCCTTTACTGATGTAATTCTACTGGTATAACCCCCAGTGCGGGGGAAGCAAAAAGGTCCCTTATGCTAGCATAGGGTATTCTCCTTCCTGTACAGAAATTGCTGTACTAGCATAAGTACATTCATACTAGGATATCTCCACCCACACTAGGGGGTTACCGGTATAATTACAGTTCTGCAACTTGTGTGGGTAGCACAGCTCTGACAGAAGGAGCTATTTCCTCTCCCCCTTCCCCTAATCTCCAGTTAGTGACCTCTGGGCATGGACTTCTCAATGGGATAGTGCAAACAGGAAAAGATTCCCAGGCCAAGACCATGAGGTGGTGGCAACTGCTGGATGGTTTCTGCCATGTAAACAGACACAGGAACATGTGTCCATCTAATCCCAGTTATTGCCTGGCTCGCTTTGGATATGTGACCTCCTGGGGCCAGTGAGATTTGACCTTCTCCCTATCACGGCTCCGCTGCTCATCCTGAACCCCAGGCAAGTGCTGGGGGGATATTCCAGTTGTTGGGGTGGGGAGGAGCCAGGGAAGCAAAACAGATTTTGCTGCCAGGCGGATCATTTTTATACTGCAGCTCCTGAAAGTGGCTCAGCTCTTTGGAAGGAAAGTCCTGGAGGATGCAAAGCAGACAAAAGTGTCCCATACATGATTTGTTGCTCAGGTATCACCCACTCCATGAGATCATAGAGGCTTCCCCCTTTTTCGGGAATAAGTTTCCCTGTCTCCCTAATGTGGGATGGGGAGCTGCTTCTCTTACAGCTGGGCAAAGCTGTCGTTCACTTCCCCCATCAATGTCCGCCATGGAAATGCAGGTATAGTTGCAATGTTGAGCTGCTTTATTACCAGCACTGCCCTCTGGACTGAAGGCTGGAGAGGCTACCCACATGGATGTCTCATATTCTCTCTGTGTGTTCTTCATCTTCTGTCAGGTTGGCAATCCCAGACAGGGCTCCAAGCTCGCTCTCTCTGGTCCCCATCCCTCTGTTCATTGTGCCACACTCCCAATGCCCTTGCTGTGTGCTAGTGTTCCCTTCTCCACTGCTGTGCTCCCCCATGATCACAGGTGCCCCATGCTCCCCCCTCTCCAAGACCCCAGTGCTGCCCCCTCCCACAAAGTCTTACTCCCCTGTGCATGCAGGGAACTAATGAATCCATCCTAAGGAGTCTGTTTCCCTGTCTGGCCTGCTGTGCATACACCTCCTCGCCTCTGACAACCCTGTGAAAAAATGCCACCAAATCTTCTCTCACCTCGGGCGGAGTTGTACTTTTGGAATAATACTGGCATCGGCCTGCATATAGTGGCCTAAGATCCTGCAGAAGGAAAGAAGGGGTTTAGCATAACATTCAAAGCCAAGTGGCAGTTCAAATCTGGCACACTGTCATTTACCTGAGCAGGGAGGAGAGGGCTGGACTGGGATGGATTTTCAAAAGAGCACCGTGCCCCAACCAGCACCGGATTGAAGAGGCCAGGTTTGCAGAAGCACTCCGCATGCAGCAGCTCCCATGGTGAGCTATTTGAAAATCTGCCCACAGAGGGCATGTCCTCACTGCAGAGTTAACCCGAACGAGCTACGCCCAGGCCTACGTCCCCAAGTTAGCCTAGTGCAGGTGGGAGCAGACATGCTGCAAAGCCCTACTTGAGTTACTGTCAATGTTCTCTTTAATTTTTTCCATCTGTGGGCAGAATAAATTTTGTTATTTGCATCAAGGCATGTGTACCACCAGTAGAAACAAGTGCTGCTGTGCTCTGCTAATGAGCTGGGCAGCACCTGACTCTCCCCTGAGTGAGTCACCCAAGTGCTCAACTTACAGGGAACACTGTTTACTTTGTCCTCTCTCAGGACTGCACTCAGCCTCATGCATCACGTGGCATCGTATTGACACCCACCTTACTCATCCACAGGGTTTGAACTTTTAAATCGCACCACACACACCTCTGCCTCTTGAGCTAAGGGAGTAAATGACAGCAATAATAGGTTCTCGTCCTCTCTGTGGGAGTCACTAGGACTTCTGGGGCCACGTCCCATGGCTCTTTATGCTGCGGTAATCTGAGCTGCTCTGATTCTTTTCATGTGAATTGGGGAGAATTTATCATTCTGGGCCTCCAAGGGAGCTGTGTAAAGGCACTGGAGGACTAATAGCATAGGGATCCTTTACCCTTGTTGCAGAACAGGTGGGTTATCAGCCGAGTGAAAGCCTCACTCCAGCTCAGCCTAGATCCCAGGATGAGCCAGCTAGGTTGGGCAGAAAGTGCCCACATGCAAGGGAGTGGGGTCTTTGGATATGGATGCAGGTGATGGGGGTTGAGGGAGAGAGGGAAGGGAGAGCAATTCCCAGGTAAGAACCCAAACAAGCACAGTAAAGACATATCTTTATTTAGGGAGTTGTTGGAAGCTGATCTCTTTGAAAGATCTGGCCCAAAGCCAGTGTGTTGGGGTAGGGAAATGGTAGCAGAAAGAGCATAATGTGTTCAGAGGTACATATGACAGGTACAAGCTGAAAAGGCACAATCAGGTTCATTAATTGAGATGCAGAAACCAGAACCTGGAACTTCTGTTGTTCCAACTGATCTTCTCTCGCCATCACATGCCAGCATGGGGGAGAGGGGAGGGGAGAGGGGCTGGCAAAGATGAATCTCAGTCTCACATCCTTGTACAACAAGCAGAATCAGCTACTGTGATCCTTAAAGAGCAGTGCTGAGATCAGGTCTATAGGTCCCCACATGGCCAGAATCCACCATGAGTTAAAAACAGCTCACTAGTTTATATTGCACAGCATCCCAGAGCTCAGAGATGGAGAAGAAACCTACTCAGAGCCAGACAGACAAACCAAGAGATGCCAGGCAACTTTATATTGTGGAGGGCTGAAGTACTTTGTTGCAGTTTGAGGCACTTAAAGGGGGTCACTCTAAAATATGGCCCAGCTGCAAGTAAGACTGTACGGCCTTCATATCTCACATGTGCCAATATAACCAATACATCTCATCTCTCAGCTGGCATGCTAAGCCTACCATACAGACTCCCCTGTCTGGCTTTCTGTCTGTATCTATCTGTTGTCTCCTCTCATATACTTCGATTGTAAGCTCCTTGGGGCAAGAACAGTGAAATCACCAGCGTCTGGTGGTATGTCTCCTTCCATAAATTTCCAGGTCCTTAAACTCATCCCACTGTATTTCACTGCTACCCATCCAGCTGCTACACCAGTCAGGGCACTTACATAGCCTCTCTCGTTGATTTGCTTTACCAGCTACACATGTCAGGGCACCCACCACTGAAATACAACCGCTGTTCAAGTTGGGTGGCTGCTGAACTCTACAGAGGAAATGAAGAGCACACTGTGGACAGTAATCAAAGAGGAATATCGTATCTGAAACCATGGCTACAGAAACACAGTACAGAGAAGACAGGAAAGCTTTGATGAGTTACCTCTGAGAAAGTATTCTGCCTTCCATCTAGACTATGGGGTGGAACACAGAGGGTATGTCTACACTGCATTCCTCTTTTGAGAGAGGAATGCAAATGCAGACAAATGAAACTGCAAATGAAGCGTGGATTTGAATTTCCCATGCTTTATTTGCTTAATCGCGGCTGGCCGCTTTTTTTCTAAATACCCTATTTCAAGATAAAAACGCTGTTTAGACGCGGTTATTTCGAGAAAAAACCCTTCTTTCAAAATAACCTTTCCTCCTTATAAAATGAGGTTTCAGGTTTATTTTGAAAGAAGGGTTTTTTCTCGAAATAACCGCGTCTAAACAGCGTTTTTATCTTGAAATAGGGTATTTAGAAAAAAAGCGGCCAGCCGCGATTAAGCAAATAAAGCATGGGAAATTCAAATCCACGCTTCATTTGCAGTTTCATTTGTCTGCATTTGCATTCCTCTCTCGAAAGAGGAATGCAGTATAGACATACCCAGAGAATGTAGGTACAGCAGCATGCATGTTCTAGGGATGTAAAATCATGTTTAATTGGTTAATGGGTTAAATGTTAACTTTAACTGGTTAACAGATTAAACAGAGTGCAGGGGAGAAATTGGAGTGCAAGGGCTGCTCTGGCCAGGCTGGAGTGCCCCTCACACACAGCGGACCCTGTGGGGATGGAACACTGGAGCAGCCCTTTACAGTGGTGGGTCAGGGGCTGCTCCAGCCCCTAACGGTTAACCAGTTAACCATTAACATCCCTAGCATGTTCCTTTGGAAATACTTACTATATGTCTGGCAGCAAAGACCCCATCAACTATGGCACAGCAGAATGCAGCAATGACTCCAAAACTGATGAAGACAATGGATGCAACCAACTGTGGAAGGAAAACAAAACAAAGTATCAGCTGCTTCCACAAAACAATTCCTGCTTCACACTTAAGGAGATAAAGCCTATCTATCCTAATCAAGAAATGATCAATGGTCCAAACACTACCCTAGCTCCAGTTCTCACCAAAAACCAAGAAATAGGAGGCACAACAAAGGCACTTTGCCACTAAAGAAAGTTTTTGTGAGTGCATCACAATCCACAAAGGACTCAACAAACACTTGAACTATCTCACCCATTACCAAGACAGTTTCCCCAATTATCACCTGTAATACCATTAACTCACAAACATCCCACTCTCCCTACCTGTAATATCATCAATTCACAGACACTTACCTTCCTTCCTTCCCCCACCCCCCCGCATCCCCCTCCTGTTCTGCAATGTGATTTGTCCTTTTCATATTTGTTCATTTTTTTAATTGTATCCTTTGGTATATATGGTTGTGACTACTTTCTTCCACTGTTGGATCTGAGGAAGTGGGTCTGGCCCACGAAAGCTCATCATCTAATAAACCATCTTGTTAGTCTTTAAAGTGCTACATTGTCCTGCATTTTGCTTCAGCTAGCCCAGACTAACACGGCTACATTTCTATCACAAACCATGAGACAACTATCCAGCAAAACAGCATGTGATTCTCTGCTGGAGAAGCGTATTGGGGATTTTCTGTGGTAACATCAGGGCAATCCAGATTTTCAAGTGCAAAACTAAGTGTTGTAACAATTCATTTGTTGAACTAGTCAAGTGTGTGTTGCTATTTTTATATTTGCTGTCACACAGTAACACCTATTCCAGTTGTTACATGAACAAAAATACTTGAGTTGTTTCCAAAGAGTTTGTTATTTACTGAACATGCTTGTCAACAAATAACAGATTTTTCCACTCTTCTTGGTTTCTAGGTCAAGATCATTGTGTGCTGAGATTATATGATTTATATGGGAATCCCTGCAATAGACTATTCAAGGAAGAATGTTTTATATATACACAAGTGTGGGATAAGAAGATCCATGACTAGCCTAAGCTGTCTGTATTACAAGACCATGTCACGTCTCTCCTTGACCCATCCATACACTGTCTAATTCAGAGCTTGACCCCTCAACGTTCTCTGCACATAGGTTCTGTTTGTTTTCAGTGGCAGTTCCAGGCATGGAGGATTTGCAGGAATGAACTTTTATGCTAGAAGGTTATCGGGGAAAGGACCATGTGCCTGATTCTCCTTGCAAACCAGCTTTACATCCGTGTGACTCCACTGCCTTAAGTAGAGTTCTCACTTAGGTCCCATCCTGCCCTCAAATCCATATAAAGACCCTAAGAACCATGGCAAGTCCTTCTGAAGTCTGCAGAGCTCTTCGCAGGTACAAGTCTGCCTGCAAGGATCCAGTAGCCAGATGAGTGCCGTGTTCCTGACCGCGAGTGTGAGACAAGAATGAGGTCTGCTGAGTAATAACTAATTGTTTTAGTGCACTGTATTCAGCATCTGAGTGAAGGATTAACAAGAGCTGTTTCCACCCAGCTTTTAGTCTTTATTATACTACAAGCCAGACTCAGGGGAAGAGCTACTGAGCGTCACCAACCTTACGAGCAAGCTCAGAGCCAATTTCTAGGTGAGCACTGAACCCCAAGCCCAATTCTCCGTTTCCCTTGAATTTGAACTGAAACTCGACCATTTCAAATGGATTTCACTTTGATTTTCTGGTCATATTTGGAGCCCAACTACCACAGTTAAACTCAGGAGGTCTGGATCTCTGTGGAACTTGACCATAGTGTTTTGCAAGACTCGAACTTTCAGGACCGATAAAACAGGGAGACGTGCAGTCAGCGTGAGTCGTTCCCTAGACAGGCCCTGGCCAACTGTGTCTTGCATCGTGCCCACATGGAGACAAACCCGGAGGCCACAAGGTTGATACTTTGTTCCAGTGGCCATCAAGATTGGGTGGCAGCATGCACCATGTGGTGCCGCTACAATGTGTCCATGTATCAGGAGGTTGATTCACTGAGCTGCATCATCAAGTACTGATGCACTTTTTCTCCTTCCACTTGAGAGGGAAGGGCTCAGGATCAGTGTTTCCTCTAAGCTGCGGGGCAGCGCAGCTTCCTAGGGGATTAATCAACCCTGCCCAGTCAGAGGGGCAGGGCTCTGTGCATGGAGCTGACTGACTGGGCAGGGCTGATTAATCCCCTGTGAAGCTGTGCTGCCAAACTGCTCAGGACACATCTTGCTGTTGGGAAGAGGTTTCTTGCCTTCATCTTCTGCCAGCTGTTCTTTCACCCACTCTATCCCTTTCTCTATGGGGGGCAGGAGAGGGCTGATTTGACTTGCAGTTTTTCTTCCTCACATTCCAATAAATTTCAGCATCAGGCAAACAATAATCCCATCTCCAGCATGGAGAAGAACGGCACAGTGGCAGGTTCAGCTGTCCACACATACAAAGGCTGCTGTGCCACAAGACTGGACCACTGGTTTCTTGAAAGCAGTGACTTGGCAACAGCAGCTCAGCAAGAGACATCTAAAATATCAGTGACAAACACAGAAGCTGTGTCTAGACTGGCAAGTTTTTCCGCAAAATCATCTGCTTTTGCGGAAAAACTTGCCAGCTGTCTACACTGGCCGCTTGAATTTCCGCAAAAGCACTGACAATCTCATGTAAGATTGTCACTGCTTTTGCGGAAATACTGTGCTGCTCCCGTTCGGGCAAAAGAGTCCTTGTGCGCAAAAGGGCCAGTGTAGACAGCTCAGATTTGTTTTCCGCAAAAAAAACCCAATCGCGAAAATGGCAATCAGGGCTTTTTTTCCGGAAAAGCGCATCTAGATTGGCACGGACGCTTTTCCGCATAAAGTGCTTTTGTGGAAAAGCGTCCTGCCAATCTAGACGCTCTGTTCCGAAAATGCTTTTAACAGAAAACTTTTCCGTTAAAAGCATTTCCGGAAAATCATGCCAGTGTAGACGTAGCCTAAGGGTATGTCTACATTGCAGAATTTTTCCAGAAAAACTTCACCTACGTTCACACTGCAATCGCATTCTTTTGGGAAAAAAATCGAAAGAACAGAGGGGTTTTTCCGACATTGGTAAACCTCTTTCTATGAGGAAGAAGCCTTTTTTTGAAAGAGCTCTTAAATGCGAGATAGCGTCTATTCAGTGCGGACGCTATCTTTTGAAAAAGCAGATTGCCTTTTTGATGCACTTTGGCATTGTGGACGCTCTCTTTCAGAAGAAGTTTTTTCGGAAGATCTCTTCTGGAAAAGCTTCTTCCGAAAGAGGCCTGAAGTCCAGACGTAGCCTGAGTCACAAAAGCCAGGGAACTCAGTGCTGAAGGTAATCTGCCACAGAAAAAAATAAGGGGTGTGCGCTATTTTTCGCTCTTCTTCCCAATGTCTAAATAAAAGACCTTGCTTTGCCTATCATCTTTTCTCCTGGAAGACTCCATGGAATAGAGAACAGGTAGAATTTGGACCCCGTTAATAACAGTGAAAGCTGAAACAAAAGGATTTTTAGTCAGGTTGTGGGGTTTTTTTTTTCCTTTTTGCTACCACCTTTCTCATTCAAAGGCCTAATAAACTTTTAGGAGAAAAGCTCTCTTGGCTAATTAGTCATTCCCCCCCCACATACACACTTTCAATTAGGCCGCGGCTAAAGAGCACATTCCAGTTCCCTGTTAATCGATGCAAGCTGGCAGCCCTAAAGACAGCAGTCAATACTGGCTAGGGTTTTTTGCAAAGGGTTTGTTTATTATACTAATTTAAAAAACAAATTTAAAATGTTTAAAATACAATAAAGAAAGGGGGGAATGCCCAATCTACTCTAAGAATATATTGAAGGGGGGAGAAGGTGTGTTCTTAACTCACCTTAGTGAACTCAGGTTAAAAGAGCAGCAAATACACAACAGCTCAGCCATTATCAACTCAAAGTCAACCCCACATTCTCATACGGGCTTTACCATTTGCTGCTAGCCCCAGGGAAATGCCGAACTGTGTCTTCCTGCTATTTTAACCATGGTAGCTAGCCTGAGTTATGAATATTTTATTTAAAAAAACTCCAAGTGAAGACGTGGTCTAAGGAAGGGCTGGCCTTCTGTTGAAGGGGCTAAGTTCTGTTAAAAAAACTCCAAGTGAAGACGTGGTCTAAGGAAGGGCTGGCCTTTTGTTGAAGGGGCTAAGAAAAAATGACAAGTCTGCTTGCTCTTCCCTAATGAACTGTCTTGGTGGTATAGCGTAGTCCAAACCTGTCTGCCAAAGTGCCTATAGAAAACAATGGTCTGATCATGCCCTTGTCAAAATCCTCTTGGCTGTGGTTAATAAGCATGGGGAAGGGAGACTGCTCCTTGCTAGAGTACGCATCCCTCCAAGCCTTTTCTGCCCTCCTTTCCACTTGGTTTCACTTCCCTGCATTCCAGGAGAATGAGACTTCCCTTTGGATAGGTCACTGTTGTGTTCCACACACTGATCTGCCACAGGCTTGAAATCTGACATTTTTCTTTCTCTCTAAATTACCCGCGTCTCTTCAGCAGGCAGTTTAGTGTGTGTGTGTTGAGGGATAGGGCAGTGGGTAAGGGGAAAATAATATGTGTGTGTGTGAAAGATTACAAGCTGTTCATTTTGTCAAGGTTTTTTTTTCTCCCTCGCCCTTACAAAAAAGCAGCTCTGTAGCTGGGTTTATGGGCTATTTCACAAGACACCGTTTGGAGGGAACTGGCTGATTTCCCCTGCAGAACAGAGAAACGCTCTTAACGGCTGTTTCCTATGCTTTTTCCATTCTCTGGTGTTGAGGAAATCAGTTGTTCATTTACTGGCAGGAATGGAAAGTTGCTGTTGCCTATGTGAATGGCCTGCTTTGGTAAAAGGCAGTACAGGATAGGGATGTTAGAGTGTAGTCATTTGTGCCTGTTGGTTATCCAAACAGTTACACGTGGCTCTCAGTCCAGCTCCCAGAAAGGCAGCAACAATGGGCTTAAAAGCTGTCTTCCAGCACACAGAGGCTCCTGGGGAGCTGGCT